ATATATGGCCATATATAATATAATATGACATATATATTAGATGACACATATATGTCATATTATATATATATACACATATATTGCACTGTGCTTTACGGTACTGTTGCTGATAGGGTTTTATATAACACTTTCTGCACCACCTTCTCTTCCCATTGAATGCTTCCCTCCACCATTGATCTGTAGATGTTACTCCCCTTCCTGACTTATCCCCCAGCCCCTCAAGTGATGTTTCTCACTGGATATCAGTTCTCATGTCCTCTGTCTCCACTGTATTTGGGTATTCATTATCCCACCATTATGTTTCCTTCAGTCCTGCACATGAGAGAGATCATTTTGTGCCTGTCTCTAGCCCTCTGACTAACTTCACTCAGCATACTTTTTCCAGGTTCCTCTATGTACCAGCAAATTTCTTATGGCAGTCAACTTGTTTAATTTCTCATCAGTATTTCTATTTTGCTCATTTAAGTAAATATTTAACCTACCCAATACAATCCCTTTCTGTTCAGTACTTTCATGCCTAATTTCACGAGATTGTTTTATGAGTTTCCTGGTAGCCTGCTAAATTCAGCATAACATATATTTTTAATTCATCATCTTACTTTACTTACATCATCTTACAATATCTCACTGACCTTGAACTCAGTTCCTAGAGAATCATAACTTTTGTGATGGTATATTGACAAAATAAATTTCTTTTAAAAATATTTCATGTAGCTATGCATTTCTGGTTTTGCACTGGTTTTAGCAGAAGCTAACTAAATGCTATACGTTAACTGCGACAATTCATCAGGCTGGTTGATAGAAAGCCTCTCTTGTCTTCCAGAAGGTGGCGCTATAGCACAAGTTTGTGGTATCTTCCCTGTTCACTGAAAGCAGGCAATTTTTGCAGTCTGCTTCCTTCCAGTTTGCTGGATGGAGTTCAGTTCAACACACAGCGGCAACAGGAACTTGAATACCCAGCCCCACCAGTTGCACATGAGTCTGCTTCTACAAAAGGCTCTTTTTTATATGTAAGGTTTCATACAAAACAATTTACCACCTTTCAGCACCAACTCCTCCGCACAGTTGAATGCTTCCTTCCACCACTGACGCTGCCCCTTAACTTTCCTATCCAAAAGTCCCCTCTCATTGCATGTTTCCTAATGAATATATTGTATTCTTTGTTTACTTCTGCAATTTCTTTGGCAATCACTCCTGGAATAGTTTGTGGAACCATTGGTGGGTGCCTGGGATGGAACAGGGTCTACCACAGCCAAGCCTTAAGCTCTACTATCTCCCAACACTTATCACATTCTTGCTGGAAAATTACTATAGCCTGATCCTTTCTTTTTCACTGGCTTCCCACTTTCTCAGAACTTTTGAAGGGTTATCACAGATAGTCTTCATGGAGGCAGATTCCTCTTGAGTCATTTGAAGAGAGTTAAAGAGTTCCCAAACCTTCAAAACAGAGTTCTTCCCATGTATGGGTGTCTAATTCACTGATTTGAAAGGGGAACAAGAAGAAAGGAAGAAAGCCTTACATTAGTTGCAAGGTATTTTACAAATTGGGAACATCGTAGCAAAGAAGGCACCCTTACTGAGTACATCTACAATTTATGAGACAAGAAAAAAGATAAACAAAAATCATATCAAAAGTAGAAGTACAATTTAAAAATATATCATGTGGGGGCTGGAGTGATAGCACAGCCGGGTGTTTTCCTTGCATGCAGCTGACCCGGGTTCAATTCCCAGCATCCCATATGGTCCCCCGAGCACCGCCAGGAGTAATTCCTGAGTGCATGAGCCAGGAGTAACCCCTGTGCATTGCAAGGTGTGAGATACATGTATTATATATGTGTATATATGTATATGTATATATGTGTGTATATATGTATATGTATATATATATATATATATATATATCATGTGAAAGGCATACTTAGGGAAGACAACTCAAAGGAGTTGATATTTTAACAAACTTAAACAAAATGAAGGGGATTTTATGATTTGTTCTTTCAATGATTGAAAAATACCTTTCCCACATCACCATATTACAGTCTTCAAGAATATATTATTTCACGTAATTAGGTTCTGAAGTAATCTTGCAAACGTCTCTGTGTACCATTAGGCAATTTTATTCCCCTACCCACTATATAAAAACCATTGGCTGAGTTGTTCAACATTGCCTTACTAACCTTTAATGAGACCTTTGACATTTGTCGACTTTGTATTTGGTGTGGGCATGATTAGGGATCTCTCTTTCTTTCTCCCTCTTTCTCTCTTTCTTCCCTTCCTTCCTCCCTCCCTACACCATTATAATGCTTTCTTAATGACCTAAGCTTTATCATAAGTCTTAATGTCTAACAGAGCAAAATTATCATTTTGTTTTTGCAAAAGACTTCTGATCATCATTTGGTGTTTTCCATTAAATATATACATTAGAATTAACTGGTTTTATTTTATTTATTTATTTATTTATTTATTTTTGGTAACATGTGAAGACGCACAGGGGTTACTCCTTGCTCATGCACTCAGGAATTACTCCTGGCAGTGCTTGGGGGACCATATGGGATGCTAGAAATCGAACCTGTGTCGACTGCGTGCAAGGCAAACACCCTGCTCGTTGTGCTGTTGCTCCAGCCCCAGAATTAACTGGTTTTAAAAAAAAACTCTGTGGAATGAGTCAAAAAGAGAGGGACAGACACAGGAAGATTGCATTCATAAAGTAAAAATTAGGAGACTAACACCCGAGAATAGCCAAGATAAGTACCAGGAGGTTCACTCCATGGCTTGGAGGCCAGCTGCACATGCTAGGAGAAAAGGCAGCTCAGATAGAGAAGGGAGCACCCAATAAAGGGTGTTGGGAGGACCCTCCCTGGATGACAGATGCATGCTGAAAGTAGACTATGGACCGAACATAACTGCCACTCAATGCCTCTTTGCAAACCACAGCACCCAAAAGGAGAGAGAAAACAAAACAGAATGCCCTGCCACAGGGGTGAGGTGGGATGAGGGGGATGGTGGGAGTGGGACCAATACTGGGAGCACTGGAGGTGGAGAATGGGCCCTGGTGGAGGGATGGGTACTCAATCATTGTATAACTGAAACACAAGCACAAAAAAATTGTAAGTCTAAAACTGTACCACATGGTGTTTCACTAATAAAAAAATAATTAAAAAAAATAAAAAATCTCTGTAGAGGGGTTATGAAGTAATCTAATAGATAAGAAATACATCGTTAGATCACTGATGTGGAAATCAAAAGAAAGCAAGCTAAGGACAATGTTCAATTAAAACAACCCCTCAGACTCTGACCACAGAATTGAGATTACTAAGGTATAGGGGGAGTAAGTTAAATGAACTCAGTGGACTGTGATGGAGACATACTGTGGTGAGCCCAGCATGGTAACATTGCAGTCCTAAACTGTACAATCATTGATACTCATAAATTGATGTACAGTGGTAGTACGTTTGCCTTGCGTGTAGCCGGCCCAGCCAAGCTGGGTTCAATTCCTCTGCCTCTCTTAGAGAGCCCAGCAAGGTACCAAGAGAATCTCGCCTGCACGGCAAAGTCTGGCAAGCTACCTGTGATGTATTCAATATGCCAAACACAGTAACAACAAGTCTCACAATGGAGATGTTACTGGGCCTGCTCGAGCAAATCGATGAACAACATGAGAACAGGCAGACAGACAGATAGACCTCAATAAAAATGGTTTTAAAATTATTTGGTAGAATCAGAATTTTTTGGAACATGTGTGTATATATATTTTATCGATTTAACTCCTTCAAATTTAGAGCTCTGTACCAAGATTTTTCTTTGAATATGAATTTTTTTAATGTGTGTGTGTATAATTATAGTTTGGGCCACATTTATACAATAATGTTAGTGTTTATGGTTTTTCTGTGTACTGTTTCTCACCTCACCATCCAAGTTTCTCTACCATATTCCCCTGCTACTCACAATATACCTCATTATTCCCCTCAAATCACTTTTCCCCTTATGTGATATTCTCAGGTCTGTAATCAGTGACTAAGTGTTTGATATTATTTGATAGCATTCACTAAGGTCTTTATTTTTATTGTCCTACAGAACTTTGCATCTTCCCTGAAAATATTCCGAAATTATTATAAGAAATACCCTTTTAAAATCTAGAATACATCAGTTTTATGGGGAGTGTTCTGCTTATCCTTTCTTATGTTTTAAACATATGATGAAGTGTTTATGTTAATAGCTTTTAAGAACTATGCCAAACATTACAATATAGTTATGCATATATATGTGCATGTTTGTATATGTATATTCATTTCTTTATATACATGTGTGTTTATTTCTTCATTTATATTTCTCTGGCTGCTACTCCAGGTGGTATGGGGGAGCCATGTGATTTGGGGAACAAGCCCAGGGCATTTTATAGGCAAGACATCCATTCAATCACTGGTGGCATATCCCTGCCCCTGAAACATTTTTTAATTTTATAACTATTACTATTTTATCTTTTTTTCTTGGTTGCTGTGATTCCCTTTGATCATTTATAATCATTTTGATACCAACATCCTCATGTCATAAAAATATCTAAAGTTTTATCTGGATAAATTTAGAGGTAGATTTTGCAAAGAAGGCAAAACCACTACTATCGCATTTACTTCTCTCACTTTTCATTTTAAGGCAAATGAGGCATGATTTGCACTTTATCACTCATCTTAAAACATAGTTTAAGAAGGAAATGAAAAGAATAAATATATTTCTGTTTTAATGCAGAAAATCATAGTTTTCTTATATATACAACATATATAATTTGTAATATATTGATAAATATTTTCTGAGCTTTGTTTCTTTCCTAGATGATGCTACAGAAACTTTGTCCATATCATAGTCTTGAAGTAATCCTTAGTTAAATTTGAATCTGAATTGTATAGCTTGAGTAACTACACTAAAAATCATAGGCCACAGTCAAGAGTTTTCTGAAAACACTAAATCAATGTATATACTATTTGATATTGGTGAGATTATCAACTTACTTCTTGGGTAGCTTCATTTTTTTCACTCTTTCTTCAGCATGTTCATCTGATATACCCACATGGCATCCTAATGCCAGCAAGGTCCTAGAAAACAAAATCAAAGGTAAGCTGCAAAATCTGTTCCTTTGTTCAAAAGAACCCAACAAAATAGATTTGGATATAAGATCATTTACTGATTTTTCCTGAAAGCAAAAGTCTTATGTTTCTAAAGCAAAAGAAAACATTTGCTTATAATTTCTTTTGAGTAATGAGCAAGACATTGAAAACTGAAATGTAATGAAGGAATATGTTTAAAAATATTATCCCCATCTCTCCCCCTCTCCCCCAAATTGAAACTTCTACAATGTTTCCTCCTTCCCAAAAGGCACTGATTGCAACCAATTCTTGAAGATCCAGCTAAAGTTTATGCACACAATGATGCATATTTTTATGTTCATACTGTTTTCTTTACATAATGGGGATACAGAGACAGTTCTCTGCAATCTACTATATTGATAATATAACTTTTAAATAAAACTGACATGCTGCCCTTTCATGTAAAATTGATACAATTTTTAACAGTTTTGAAGGTTTTTATTAACTAGCAGCGTAATGGTGTCTTTATGCAATTCTATATTTGTGGTCTTTTAACAAACAATAAAGAACCTCAGATATTTAGTAAACATACTTCATCCTTCACATGAAGGATACATTTCTCAGCACAGAATTATTAGGTCATAGGTATCACTTGATCACTTGATACCCCATTACTCATCGATTTACTCGAGCGGGTGCCAGTAACGTCTCCATTCATCCCTGTTGTGTGCCAGCGTAGCCCAATGGCATCTGCTCGTTCTAGGAACATGTAGAGCCTCAAACCAATCATTCAGGGTCTTGATGAAGAAGTCTGACCATCTTGCAGGTGGGCGTCCACGCGATCTTTTGACGTCCGGTGGAATCCAGTCAGTAATGGCTCTACTCCAGCGGTTGTCTCTACACCTCATTACGTATCCAGCCCATCTGATTTTTGATGCCTTGGCAAATGAGACAGCGTCCCTGATACTTGAGCATTGACAGAGATCGGAACTCTGGATTCTATCTCTCATTTGAGTGAAGCATGATACTCCAAGCATAGCTCTTTTGATTCTTCTTTGAGAGACCCGAATAGCATTCTCATCCTATTTTCATAGGGCTCAGGTCTCTGAGGCATATGTTAATGCAAGAAGAACAGTGGAATCGAAGAGATATGCTCGGAGTCGGAGGTTCTTTGTCCTCTTAGTTATTTCTTCAACACTCTTGAAGGCATTCCAAGCCGCTCTCTTCCTCCTGTGTAACTCAGGTGCCATGCATTCATCATGTTGATTTCTTGACCTAGGTATATATAATTGTTGCATTCGGAGATTGTGGTTCCGTTGAGAGTGAATGGAATATCAGGAACAAGACTGTTTCTCATGAACATTGTCTTTGTGAGATTCAGTTGTAATCCGACCTTTCCACACTCACGGTCCAAGTTGGCCAGCATTTGTGCTGCTCGGCTGATGTTTGGTGTTACTAGAACGATGTCATCAGCAAAGAGGAGATGGTGTAGTTGCCGACCATCTATCTTCACTCCCATTCCTTCCCATTCCAGTCATTGCATAATGTTCTCGAGGGTGGCACTGAAGAGTTTTGGTGAAATGGTATCACCCTTCCGAACCCCTCTCTTGACATGGATGATTATTTCTTTGTAGAATGGTGAGATACTGGTAGTGAATCTGTAATACAGCTCACGGAGGATCCTGATGTATTGAGTTTGTTCGCTCTGATTAGCTAGGGCTTCAATGACCACTTCCATCTCAACATAATCAAAGGCCTTCTTTAAATCAATGAACGTTAGACAGAGCGGTCATAGGTATATACATTAAAAAATACTTTCAAAATGCTGAGTTCGAGACACTTTATATACCAATTAGTTTTACATGTTATTGACTATTTCACATGCTTTTTCCAACAAGATCAATTGTCTGATCTTGAGCAATAAATAGGTTATGCATAGCATTGTTGCAGATTGAACCCAGAGTTCTACATTCATAAAGCAGAAACCTTGCAATTTAAGTCACATAACTATCCAATAGCTATACATTTTAGTAGTAGTAGTAGTAGTAGTAGTAGTAGTAGTATTTATTTTAATTCTTTATACTATACTGATGTGCTTACACAAGTGTTGATGTACCCACTCACCTCACCTGGCTACCACTAACATGCCCATGACGTCTGCCCCATCTGTTCATTTGCTAAATAGCCTGTATTTCTTGCTCTTCTGAATGATATTTTGTTGATTTCCCAATGAATACCCTTCTAATTCATATTTAGAGTTCAATTTTTAAAATGCTCTACAAAGAGAAAATGGCTCTAATGCCAATAATAATGAATGGCTTCTCCTATCTCAAGAGAATGTTACTATTGCACCTCCTTTTTGAGTCAGGGAATTTCTAAGGTCATTTCAACTCCAGTGGAGATGTGACAAATGTATAAAAGGCTGGAGCGATAGCACAACGGGTAGGGCGTTTGCCTTACACGTGGCCAACATGGCCGACCCGAGTTCGATTCCTCCGCCCCTCTCCGAGAGCCCGGCAAGCTACTGAGAGTATTCGATATGCCAAACACAGTAACAATAAAGTCTCCAATGGAGAGTTACTGGGCCCGCTCGAGCAAATCGACGATCAACGGGAGGGCCTTTACCTTACCTTTACCTTATTGTTAGATAAATATGTCTAAGTTTCCAAATCTTTATATCACTGTATCACTGTCATCCCGTTGTTCATTGATTTGCTCAATCGGGAGCCAATAACATCCCATTAGTCTCAGTCCTGAGATTTTAGCAGCCTCTCCCCACTCATCTTTCCCAATGATGCCATACTGGAGGCTCTTTCAGGGTCAGGGTAAAGAGACCTGCTATTTTTACTGTTTTTGGAATATCGAATATGCTACAGGTAGCTTGCCAGGCTCTGCTGTGCGGTTGGAATACTCTTAGTAGCTTGCCGGGCTCTCCGAGAGGCAAATATATATATATTTACATATGTATATAAATATATATATTTCCCTCTATCCTAAGACACTCCCTACCCAATTTCCATAATTACCACACCATATTTGATGGAGTTCAGACAGTAGCAACGAATCAAAGAGGGAAATAAAATCTTTATATATGCATGCATATAAATGCATATATAGTTATGAAATTTAATTTGAGGTTATATAGAAAAGTTAGATAATCCTACAAAATTATCCTGCAAGTGCTAGCCAACAAAATAGTTGATAGAGAAAATTACTGGAGATATAAAATGATTTAAATAATGAATATAAAGTCAAATAATATTAATCATCAATAGAAGAATAGAAAAATTAACTCCCAGAATAAACACAACCATTACTCAAACATTATGCAAAATGCAGAAAACTTTTTTTACTTACATCATTCTCCATTTATTCATTTATTACAAGGTCACTTTGTACTATCCTTGTGCTAAGTAAGGGTGATAAGCTTGCAGTTGTTGAAAACTCTAGATAATCCTCAACTATAATATAATTTTTTATATAAGGAGATAAAGGATTATAAAATTATCAAGAGGATACAAAATCAAGCTCTGAAGAAACTCTAGAGTGATAATAACATTATAATTATCTTGAATTCAAGCAATTAAAACTAGAATACAAGCTCATTAACAGTTCTACTAGTTAAAACATCTAGAGACCTAACATATGAAGTGAACAGCATTGAATGCCATGCTAAGATTCTCACACTTCAGTGGATGGATGGGACCCATGTCGGCTATGACCGAAAGGCAGCATCAGAAGTTGATGTGTTGCAAAGGTATTTTTCAAAGAATAATTTGTTATTTTAATAAATTTTACATGACCATCACTACAATACTGGAGTGATGTATTAGAGATTTTCTATCACCTCTTCAGGTTTTTTTTTGGTTACTTAAAGTCATTTTTTATTCATACATCCATGCAGCCAATGAAATATCTTCTCTGTCTATGGATTTGTCATTAGTAGAATTTTCATCTAAGTAGAGTCATCAATATAGAATCTCTCATGCTAGATTTTAATGAATCAACATTATTTTTTAGGCTTATTTGTATTATAGTATATAGAAGTAATTACTTTTCTCATTACCTTATAGTATCTCATTATGTTTTATTCTATGTTCATCCATTCTTCAGTTGATGAGAATATCTGAACAGTTTCTAACTTTAGGATATTATGTTTAATGTTCCTATGAATAATAAGCTTCTACAAATATTCATGTATGTCTTGAGTGAACATATGCTTTCACTCTTTCGGGGAGTTAAACAAAAGTTAGGTTGTATGGTAAATTAATGTTTAAACTTTTAAGAAACTGCCAGATTTTCCCAAAGTTACAAGACCAGCTAAGTAGTTACAATACAGTGGATTGGGAGTCAGGGAGATCATGCAGGGGTTAAAAGTGCTTGCTTTGTACACAGCCAACTTCAGTTTACAAATGGTCTCCTGAACACCACCAAGAATAGTCCCTGAGCACAAACCCTGAACACAACCAGGTATGGCCAGGCCAAGTCCCTCCCCCACCAAATAAATATTAACAATGTACTGATGCATCCCTATCAATAAAAAGAAGTATATATTAATTTAAACCACAAGTCAACCCCAAATACAGAATATTCTAGGGTGTCCTTTTGCTTTTTGACACGACTGAAGGACTTAAATAAATAAAATTGATCGTATGTTCCATTACATGCACTTAAATTGATTTTTTTTATTGTTTTGTTAAATAATTTATTTATTTATTGAATCACTGTGGGAAAAGTTACAAAGCTTTCAGGTTTAGGTCTCAGTCATGCAAATATCAAACACCTTTCCCTTTACCAATACTTATTTTTTACCACGAAGAACCCCAGTAAAACCCCACTCCCCACCCCTCCCAATGCCTGCGAGGAAGATGAATTCTGGATAACACTCTATCTGCTTTGATTAGATTCATTGTTTCAATAAAAGATGCACTACTATTATCTAGTGTTTACCCAAACCCCCAAATCAGACATGCTGAGAAAGCATTGTGAAGTGATTCGCTTTCTACAGCTGGGTTCAAGAATTAAATGTTGGTTTTGGATTTCTGCTATTTTACTAATTAACCCTGGAAGTATTTCTACTGAGAGTCAGATAATTAGGAGATTGGTTTCTGTGCTCTGGAGTCGTGGCCGTGCTGGAGAGCCGCTCGTACGGGGCAACTGGTGGCCTCGGTAGGGCGTGAAGGACAGACCGGAACGCCCCCCTTCCCATGAGGTTTCAGTCACCCCCACACCCCCGGCTCATACCTGCTCTCCACAAGGCTCCCATGCGGCCACCATCTTTCTTTCCAGAGAGGAGAGGGCGAATGGGGCAACACCCTTTCCCCTCTGGGCAGACATGATGGCCTGGATTAATGCACAGTCCATTCACTTTTCTGCTTCAAGCTGCTGGGTTCTGCATTAAGTCCTTGTGCTTCTGGGGCTGTGGCCGTGCTCCAAACTTAACTCTGATTTTCAGGGAGAAACGTTGGGTGATTTACTTCCCATTGATCACTTTGTATATACAGAGATGTCGCACGGCCGCGTAAGCGGCCACGCGGTTTGGAGGAAAAGTTCTAGTTCCCGCATACTCGAGCTATGCTTGTAGAGGTTTCTGATCACCGGGGTTCCATCTGGGGGAGGCGGGATGTGGCACCTACCCCATCTGGGACTTCCCGGTGATCTCGGCTCTTTTTGGAACCTGGTGTCTTCTCCGGGAGCTGTGGAGCCAGCTCTCCATGTGGTCCTTCTTCTCTCTCTGCAGCTGTGTGCTGTGTCTATTGTTTTTTGTTATTTTTGGAAGGGTGTAGGAGAGCTATACCTGGCAGCGTTGAGGGCTAATTCCTGGCTCCAGACACAGGGATCCCTCCTTGCAGTGCTCAAAGAACCACAACTGGTGTCATAAATCAAACCCAGGTGGCCACAAGTAATGCAAGCACCTTGCCCACAATACTATGGCTCTACCCCCCCCATGATTTCCAGTTAAAAAATTAATCTGACCATTCTCTATCAGACACACAGTGCTAAAGAGTTTAACAATATTATTTCATTCAGAGTCGACAAAATTACACGGATTAAATACATTATGATCAGTGATGGAACATTGCATATCTAAAACCCAACTATGAATAACTTTATAAAGCATGGCACTTTAATAAAATAAAATTTAAGTAAAAAGGAGTCATAAAGTTGAAGATTTTGCTAGGAGAAATAAGTCTTTGAATCTAAAAGATTAAACTTTTTTATGAAGGTTTCTCTAAGTAACTGGGACTGGGCTGGCACAAAATTTGGAGAAACAAGGCCTCTTTTCCTTTTACTTAATGTTAAAGAGAGAGAGAAGCACTTGTCCTAGAGGCAGGCTGTGGGGAGGAGGAGAGGAGGAGGGAAATTGGGGACACTGATGGTGGGAAATGTGCAGTGGTGAAGGGGTGAGTAATGGGACATTGTATAACTGAAAAGCAACTGTGAAATGAATAACCTTGTAATGTATCTCATGTTGATCCAATAAAAAAATTTAAAAGAAATATGTTCATTATATATAACCATAAAATATTAGGAATCAGCTCATGAAAAAAGGATTTAACATTCACCAAAGGCAATAGCATCTTGGAACATGCAGTCTGATTATTAATCATCCAGCTTTGTGTTTAATCAGTCACCAGTAGCTGTTAAAAATGCCAAAGGCACATCATACTATATATATGTATATATATATGTGTGTCTATATGTATATATGAAGATTTTAACACTACAGTTCTTTCTTTGATTTGCTTTTTGCATTCATTGGCTTAGCTTTTAATCAAATGATAAGGAATATACTGTAAATTTAGGAAACTTATCTCAGTCAATTGTATTTCAATAAAATATTTTTCTGTAAAACATGAGCAAATGATCAACGACACCTATTACTCCATGAAATAAATGTGTAAGTGTCAAGACTACAAATGACAGGGATTTGTGAATATGAGCTACATAGGCCATAGTGATGCATTTTTACATTCCTGATTACAAGCAATCTGTCCATTTGTATCTGTAATAGACCTTCAAGGTACTGGATTTTTATATGCTTCTTTACCTTTTAAAATAATATTAGAATCTAAATTCATTCTATGCCACTTTGTCTGTACTGTGATGAACACTGTATTTTTAAGGAGTGTATATCAGAGTATATCTGACCCTAAGTCCTACAGTTTCAGGTAGTGTTAAATTTCATTGGAGCCAGAGATTGTATAGGAAATATGTTATTGACTTGCATGTGACCAAGCCATCATCAATCCTCAAATATGGTCCCATGAGTGCTGACAGGGTTTACTATGAGCTCAGAGTCAAGAATGGCCCCTAACCCCTGCTGAATGTGGCAGAATCAACTCAAAATAAAATTTAAATTTAAATTTAATATTTAAAAAGTAAATAAATTTGTGTTCTAGATCTTTGATAAAAAATACCTCCAAAGGAAATTTTTTCTCTTAAAGCCAGTTTAACAAAAAGAACAAAAAATATAATTTCAAATGTTAGTTTAAAGCGACCTATTTGAATGAATACAGTCCTGAAGTAAAACACATATAGAAAAAGAACCAAAAATGTAAACACTTCAGAAAAACATTTTCTGAATATCTCTGCATTAAAATTTGAAACTTCCTTTACCATTAGTGGACTCCATTCCATTTATGAGATTCACACTTTATAGTAATACATCAAAACCTCTGAGAAGTTTATCAGTAAAAATAAAAACTAATTATTTTAATTCGTTATGTTTTAAGGATATTAGATTAGTTCTTCTCAAACTATCTGTGGCAAAGGGTAATATTTTTTAAAAAACTTCAATCTATCTGGGTCTGATGTGATAAAACATAACAAAATTGTTAGAGAAAATGAAATTTTCAAAATAAAACATAAAACAAGCTCATGATTTTTCATTATTACATTAGAAGCACATAAAATCAATCCCTTAAATGATTCTAAATGCTTGTTATCAATATTTTTTCTTATTTTGTCATAAACCAGTAACAATTTGTGATTGACATGGCTTAAACCCGTGTACAGTCCCCAATGCAAGTAACACCATATTGGCTCATGTAATCCTCATGTTCTCACAATAACATAAATATCTGTAGAATGATGGAGACTACTACGATGGAAGATGAAGACATAACATATAATATGGTATAATCTAATTTCCAGTAAGTATTGAACCAACAGGCTTGTGTATTATGAGAAGTTTTAACCAGAATTAAAACAAGTTTAAAGCTACATTAATGTTTAATATAAATACTTTGCTCCTTAGTGATAAGGCCGATTGAAAGGTATAAAAAGTTTGGAAACTTACTTCAGGGTCTCAAGGGACATCTGTAAATTGTAATTGCGTTCCTGTTCAGGCAGCTTGGAGAATTCCACCAAACACGGGTGCTGTCTCTTATTGTCATCTCTAACCTGAAACAGGACAGAAAATCGGTATATAATAGTCTCCAATGTCAGACAAGAGCAATGGTAATCCAATTATGTTGTGGAAAAGTGAAGAGGAAAAGCAAAAAGAAAAACTCAGATCTTTACCCGAACAAAGCTGGCTTTGGAATCTTCCAGGCAATACTAATGTTTGAGTCAGTGACAAAAATCTGCTCTGATCTTAACTGCCTACAATTCTCCTATTTAGCATTGTCTCTTGCACCTATGCCTGCTCTACCCCTTTGTCCTTGTACCTCCTTCCAGCATCTGCTCAAACCTTATTTCTAAGTGAGGTTTATTATACCCACCTTCCTAATTAGGTAATTAAGTCACTCACCCTACTTTTTCTTATTTCCTTTTAATTATACCAGCTAGCTAACTAGATTCCTATTTACTGAATTATCACCTTTCTCCCAATGCCATAATAAAATAAGAACAGGGATTATGGTCTCTTGTTCTTTGCTATGTTCCCAGCACCTACAATATCCCTTTTATGTGATAGGTACTTAAAAAAATGTTTTGGAAATTGAAATGAATGCTATATAAGAAAAGTATAAGGCCAAGAGTTCATTTTTGATTACTCTGAGCTCTCTGAGGTGGTTCCAAATGTTCCTTTCACTCATACTGTGCTATGTTCTGCTCTTATAAATTATCCTGTCACTTTAATAATAATTCCAGTTGACCTAATACAAACATGTTTGCCATCTTAATACCTGAAGTATATATCAGCAATCAGAAAAAAGCAAATTCAGTAATTTAGGACTGTATTATGAGGAATTTGTTGGATACTCTTGCATTAGTCATTAGATTTTTAAAAGATCTTGGAAATCTAAATTAAATAGGCATACTGCTTTGGTGACATCTAGATGACAGCCAGTTGCTATCAGGATGCAAATTTCTCCATGTGAACGATTACCAGGTTCTATAAATGCCATCTAAGTTGTATGCAAACATGAGCAAGTTTGCTTTATAAATTTTCAGAGGTTAACAATTTAAATATAAGGTATTTATTCTTTTCTTTCTGGTGATCACTACAAATGAACATAATTTCTGCAAATATATATATATATATCCAGTTTATTGTGAAACTCTGAAAGTGAAACCTAGAGTTAATCCCAAAGTTAACTCTAGATTTGAAATATAAAAATAAAACTACATGTTTGCAAGTTATGAGATCATCTATTCCCAAGTGGGTAAAATCCACTTTCTAAGTGGTAACACCATATACTTTGGGTATCAAGCTCAAACCAGAAATGTGCTGAGGTTTCCTTCTTTTTCTTGCCTATAGTTCATACTCAGTGTTCCAAAATGTCTACTACAGTCTGGCTCCTCCATGACCACTGTGGAGTGTACAGTAAGTAAACTCATCAGGCCTCGAACAAGGCTACCTGGATTCTCTGCTGACCTTCTTTCCTTCAGACTCAGTGATCTGCCTGCCACACTAACGGCAGAACTTTTCAAGGCACAGACTTCAGTATCACTCCCCAGTGCTCTTCATCGTCTACTAGAATAAAATCATATTTGGCCCCACACACTTTGAGTTAAGTTTCCTGTCCACCTCTACTTTGAACCACTTGTTAGAGTCAAGGTGCAAGGCCTTGTTTTTTACCCTCTGGCAATCCTAAATTACTGAAATTGTCATTGTAATTTCACCTCCATGTTTGAACACACTACAGGTTCTCTGCTTAGAGTACTCTACTTGATCCCTGATTGCTAGTTCACTTGCAATTTGTCCCAAAGGATTTGTATCAAATATTTACTTTCTCCTGGAAGCCTTCTTGATTTCCCAGGAGAGAAGTAAATATGCCTTTTTGTTGTTCATTCTGTAGGCACCTCCACTATATTCTTAGATTGTAATTGCTTGCAAGTCTATTATTCAACTAAACCAGAATTTCCTAAAATGCAAAACAACACAAAGTCAAGGATTTTTTTCAGCCTTGGCACATGGTACCAAGCACAAAGCTAGGTAAATAATAAGCACTTATTAAAGATTAATGGAATAGACAAATGCTAAATGTACCTACTGGGTATCTCCATAAATTAGAGCTATTAATGCTATGGGACATTTTCCAAAATACATGCAAAAGAGACTGTAAAATTATTCATAAATTAGAGTCATTGCTTAACTCTATGGAAATTTTCCAAAATACATGCAAAAGAGACTGTAAAATTCTATGCAAACTAAGGGGCAGAGCTATAACACAGCAGGTTGGGTACTTGCTTTGCATGGGGTTCAATTGGTTTTGACTCCCAGTACCCCATAGGTTTCCAAAACCCACTAGAAATGATCCATGAATGGGGATCCAGAGTCAGTCATGAGCACCACCAAAGGAGACCAATAAATAAGTAAATAAATAAAAGATCAACTTCGCAATAATTCAACCTATTGGAAAGAATAAATTTTTCCATTTTGGCAAAATAATGAATGTAATAAATGTAGAGAAAAGTTAAGTAGAAATCATCTGCCTCACAGTCATTGGGAGGGGTGAGAGGGGGCGTATATTGGGGTTCTTGGTGGTGAAAAATGAGTACTGGTGTAGGGAAAGGTGTTTGATCATTGTATGACTGAGACTTAAACCTGAAAGCTTTGTAGCTTTTCCCACAGTGATTCAATAAATAAATATAAGAATAAATAAATAAAATTATGGAAAAAAGAATAAATGTTTCCATAATAAAATACACATGATTTTGATACTCTGCAACATGATCTGATATTCTTTTATATTATACATACTGCTGTGCTTACCAAGAACGGGTCCTAAGAACACAATTGTTTTATAACATCAGAAAATGTTTGACTGTGTTCTCCACTCCAAGAAAGGTGCCGTGTGCAAAAATCACAGTGTTATTTAAAGCAACCTGAATCCAGAGGATAATGTGAAGTGATCAGGGGAAGGATGCCTGCAAGGGCCTCTATCTATCTGCTCTGCAGAACCATAAGGGGGTTCTTTGAATATAGCAGCAATAGGAGGTGTGGTATTGATCACAGCTAAATTTAATTGAGAAAATAATGAGACCTATACTTTCTTAATTTTTAATGAAGAAATACAGCATGGATTCACTGCACAACACAATCCTTTAAGGAATCCTAAGAAGTTGAAATCAAGACCATTTCTCGTGAATCTAAGTCCCTTCATACAAATCCTATATGTTTTTGATGGGTTTTGGGTGGTTCGTTTTAAATATTTTCTAATGTTCCTAATATGAAATCTTTTCCCCTCCACTAGAAATGTGTGGTGTATTTTTCTATAATTCAAAAATTCCCATCATTTTGAATCTTATAGTGACTTCCACTATAATCCTCTGCTATTAAACTATGCACATATTTATAATATATTCTCTTACTGACTTAAGTTGATAGCTAATTTTTTTAATTTTTACAGTGTTTTATTAAAATATTTTACTTGCTAATGGATATACGTAAGCATTAACTATAATATAATATTTTCTAATACAAAGTTATTATTCCATTTTTTTATTAGTGAAACACCATGAGGTACAGTTATAGACTTACAAATTTTTGTGCTTGGGTTTCAGTTATACAATGATCAAGTACTCATCCCTCCACCAGCGCCCATCCTCCACAACCACGGGTCCCAGCATCCCTCCCAACCCCATCCCTCCATCCCACCCTGCCTCTGTGGCAGGGCATTCCCCCTTGTTCTCTCTCTCTTCTTTTGGCACAATGGATTCAGAGATAGCTAATTTTTATGTTAACATGTATACCTTTATTCAGTCAGTGTTTGGATTCAGTGAGTGCGTTTTTTAAAAGGTAATATTTAAAAATTAAATTTGAAAAGTTAAATTTAAAATATAATTTCAATCATATGCTCATCTAATCTTTGATAAAGGTGCAAGTAATGTGAAGTGGAGTAAGGAAAGCCTCTTTAATAAATTGTGTTGGCATCACTGGACGGCTACATGCAAAAAAATAGGCTCAGAACTCTGCCTAACACCATGTACAAAAGTAAGATCAAAATGGATTAAAGACCTCAACATCAGACCAGAAACCATAAGGTACATTGAAGATAAAGTTGGCAAAACCCTCCATGACATTGAAGCTAATGGTATCTTCAAAGATGCCACGCCACTGGCCGAGCAAGTGAAAACAGAGATAGATAAATGGGACTATCTTAAACTAAGAAGCTTCTGCACCTCCAAAGAAACAGTGACCAAAATACAAAGACAGTCTACAGAATGGGAAAGGATATTCACCGAATACACATCTGACAAGGGGTTGATATCCAGGATATACAAAATACTGGTTAAACTCCACAAGAAGGAAACATCCAACCCCATCCAAAAATGGGGCAATGAAATGAACAGAAACTTTCTCAAAGAAGAAATCCGAATGGCAAAAAAGCACATGAGAAAATGCTCTACATCATTAATCATCAGGGAGATGCAGATCAAAACCACAATGAGATACCATCTCACACCTCAGAGACTGGCCCACATTCAAAAGAACAAAAGCAACCGATGCTGGCGCGGATGTGGCGAGAAAGGGACACTCCTTCACTGTTGGTGGGAATGCCAACTAGTTCAGCCCTTCTGGAAAACAGTATGGACGATTCTCAAAAAATTAGAAATTGAGCTACCATTTGACCCAGCAATACCACTCCTGGGAATATATCCCAGAGAGGCAAAAATGTATAGTCGAAGTGACATCTGCACTTGTTTGTTCATTGCAGCACTCTTTACAATAGCCAGAAACTGGAAGAAACCTGAATGCCCAAGAACAGATGACTGGTTAAAGAAACTTTGGTACATCTACACAATGGAGTACTATGTAGCTCTTAGAAAAGATGAAGTCATGAAATTTACATACAAGTGGTACAATATGGAAAGTATCATGCTAAGCGAAATGAGTCAGAAAGAGAGGGATAGACATAGAAAGATTGCATTCATCTGGGGGATATAAAGTAACAAAGTATGAGATTAATACCCAAGAATAGCTGAGATCAGCACCAGGAGGATTACTCCATAACTTAGAGGCCAGCCGGGTATCCTAGAGGAAAGGGCTGTTCAAATAGAGAAGGGAGCACCAAATAAAGGATGTTTGGAGGATCCTCCCAGGAGGGGAGATGCATGTCGAAAGTAGACTATGGACTGAACATGTTTGCCACTCAATGCCTCTTTTGCAGACCACAACACCCAAAAGGAGAGAGAGAACACAGGGGATTGCCCTGCCACAGAGACAGGGGGGATGGGGGAATGGGGGTGGGAGGGATATTATCCATGGTGGTGGAAAATGGGCACTGGTGGAGGGATGGGTATCTGATCATTGTATAATTGAAACCAAAGCACAAAAAATTGTAAATCTAGAACTTTAAAAAAAGTAAAATAAAATAAAGGGAAAAAAAATAATAATAATTTCATAATACTACAAAAATGAAAGTTTTGTTATGGTTCTGCTTTAAAATAAAAAGAGTATGAGATACATTGGAAATGCAGGAGAAGTAATTTTGATTTTTAAAATCTAAATTTTACTGATAAGCTGCAAACCAAACTCTTTAATAAAATAATCACCAGGAAACATACAGAGTCATTATTTCTCAGCCTTTCTTCAACTACTGAATCTGTGGTGAATACTGGGACAGAGGACTAATACTCTGTACAAAAAGTACTAAAAAGAGTAGAACATCATCAGTAATGAAAGGAGCAAATCAAATAATTTATTTTCATTCTTAATTTTAACTTTTGATTCAATGAGGGTTTTTTCCCCTCATTGATGGCTGCATACTAGAAATGGATGCATATTATCTGTTTGTGCTAACCCTGATTTAAAAAATTAGCTTTCAACCTAAAGATCAATTGCTTTCCATTATCAGATAACTAAATCATTCTTCAATGATTCTGCCAATTAATGTCATCCCTTCTAATAAGAAAAAATTGTTCAAAACTAATGTGAAGGGGGAAAAATCAAACTAATCAATTCCTTTCAGCACAAAGCAGGAGTGAGAGAAAGTTGTTTTCACAAAGATGTATTAAGAGAAGATGAGAATAAATTTCAAAATTTTATACCGGACCATACTGCCAGCCAAGTTCAATTTTATTCATAACCCAGAGTTCATGGATATTCTCTGCCAGTCTTTCTCTTATCCTCTCAAGGTGAGGAGGCAACACGATCTAAAATTTAAAAAGAAAGAATAAACAAGGGGGGAAAACACAGTAAATAAATGTAAAAACAGCAATACTACTTTTCCTTTCTGTACAATGAATAAAACTATCTTTTAAACTATTAAGATATAGTAAGAGAAGTGGGTGTTTAATTACCTAATATAACAGTTGTAAAATTATAACTAGGGATATGCTTTAGTTAAACTTTTTGAATCTTTCTTTGGGGGAGGATATCTTGGGTTGACAAGTAAAGTTATTAATAAAATTTAGGAAGAAACTAAACAGTGTTGGTGGGGGAAGCAGCACTTAAGAAGGATGTCTGAGTGGACATGAGTAAATATAGCACAATTGTGCATTATTTTAAAATTTAAATCACTCCCCAAATTCTTATGCCAACCTGATCAGTATACAAGGACCAGAGGACAATCCAGTGTCTCTCTCTGAATTTATAATGCAACTTTGCTCTGTTGCTTCCCTTCACATGCTTTATTTCAACACTGTAATTAACAATGTTGTGCATGATGATTTGTTACAGGCACTCAATATTCCAATCCCAACCCTACCGCCAGTGTCAGCTTCCATCCACCACTGTCTCCATTTTCCCAACCACCCTTCAAGCCTGCCCCCAGAGCAGGCCCATAATAATTTACTTTATATTGCTTGCCACTAAAAAATGGATAATGAAATAATCAAGAAATATTTTCTGGGGCTGGAGTGATAGCACAGTGGGTAGGGTGTTTGCCTTGCATGCGGCCCAGCCTTGGTTCAATTCCCAGCATCCCATATAGTCGCCCAAGCATGACCAGGAGTAATTTCTGAGTGCAAAAACCAGGAGTAACCCCTGTGCATCACTGAATACGACCCAAAAAGAAAATAAAGAAATATTTTATTTAAAAAAACTTATAAAAACTGTTGTATCTCACTAGGGAGACATTGAGTCCTTGTCTGGGGGTTTAATAATCTTTTGTTGCAAGTTAAGCCTTCTAATGTGTTAATACTTTTTGTTAGTCGATACTGTTTGGATTCTGCATTACATCCCATGCAATCTAGTGTGCTGCTACTAAGATGACAATGTTGTAAAGTTTGGAGATATCACACAGCCATTAATGTGGCAGTACACTCCAGAAAAAAAATACCAGAATATTTACTGATGGCCGTGTCTCTGTCACCACCAGGTAACTTCATCTACCAGCCTTTTTCTGGAGACTCATAAAAACCTCTCAACCGAGATCAACTAGATCATCTAGCCACCATTTCTCTGTTGCTTTTTTGAAATATTTGTCCAAGGGAAAATGTATTTATATGTTCCCATTAAAAAGAAGTTCACTTACCTCTTCATAGAAAACTGAAAAACGGTTTTCAAAGTGAGTGGTTGGTTGTTTATGCCTGAGGACACACTCTCTTGTTATCTCACATTTTGCCTCACAACGAAGCAAGCAAGCTAAAGTATATGGCCCACTGCTGGAGGCAGACTTTCTGCTGGAGTGTGCTCCATTGCTTTTTCCCCCAAAAACGGTGGTGGTTATCTAGCTAGATCTCAGAAAATCCTAAATGTCTTACTGCATCATCCAATTGTGCTTTTCAGTCTATTTCTATTCTTCCAATTTTGTTTACTGCTAAAATTTGGTAAAGCTAGATATCCCAACACCTTGCAAGGGCCATGAAAAAAGTTTATTTATGTTAGTTACTATGAGGACAGAAAGCCAGAATGAAGGAGGAAAAAAGATACTTAATTCAAAAGGTGACACAAGCTTTCACTAAACAATTTAAGCTTCTGAGGCCTGCTATTAATTCAACTTCAGATGTGAGTAGCAAGCCCCTTGCTCTTCAAAATGAATAAACAAATGAGCAACAGAACCAGCCTTACTGAAACAACTTTACCACCTAGAGAAAGCAATGTTGAATTCATTTTCAGTGTCAGAATATTTTCTCTTTTATGAAACTGAGAGGCAAAAATAATGGCTAACATTGGGAGTCAATCTGCAAAGTATTATGATAATATGTTTGTTATTAACTATGTCAAACATAGCACTGCAATCCACAAGTTCCCCACATTTCCAAAGCGGGCATTTGATACACACATATACACACTAAAGCACTGAGCTTCCATCCCATAATTTTAATCTCTACCCAAGAAAAAGGGTGATTCAATTTCTCAAAAAAAAAGTCAATGTATCAAAATGGGGAAAGAAATGTATAACTAAGTCAACATAAAAAATTCTAAGGGTCTGAGAGATAGTACAGAGGGTACAGCATTTGCCTTGCACATGGCCAACCTGTGTTCCATCCCTGGCACCTCATATCATTCCTTGAACACTGTCAGAAATAATCCCTGAATGCAGATTCAGGAGTAATCCCTGACCACTGCCAGGTATGGCCCCCAAACCAATAATAAATAAATTAAGTATTCTAAGTGAACATGTATAACCTCAGATTGGGATCAATTAGTGCATGATAAAACCAGCATGGTGGTTTGAGTCCCCTTAAAACAACAGAAGCGACACAAAACAGGACAGAATAGGAAACAGATGAGTGAACTTTGTAAGACTCAACGTTACTTTATGAAACATGCTCCACTATGCCTATAAATTGCACCACTAGAAAGTGCACTTGTCAGGGCTAGTGAGAAGAGTTTGAAAGGTATTGTATTTAACAGCAACACAATGGTAGTCAACTGAGTTCACCGAGTACCTGGCTGGTATCCACAGGGACTGGCGTGAAGGCGGCTTGCGTCAAGGGCATCGTAGGGCCCAGGAGGTCCCGTGTATACGTTCTTTCTTGCTTGTACTCTCGGCTGTGCTCCACTTTCAACTTTTCCTTTGGCAGAACAGCTTCATAACATGGCGCATAACCAGGTGGAGGAAGGAATTTAAATTCTCCATGTCTCCCTCCAAGTAGAAAGCGTACCCTAAAAGCAATGCTGGGGGTAAGTTTCATCTCTGGGTACACAGAAGTTTCCCATCAATCAAACACAAAGAATGAATTATTAATAGCAAATTAATGTTCATCAGTAGTCATATTTAATCCCTCTGAGATACTATCATAACACATGCACCTTCGAGCCTCAGGGCTTATAATCCAAAAAGGTAAAAGCTAATTAAATTTTGTTAATAAATCAATGAAGACTCACTACTGACTAAAGAATTAGCAAGAGTACATGTGACCTATTATGTGAATAAAGCACTTGACCATTTAACGTCCCAAGGTGTTAATAATCCACAAAGAAAAAATTAAATGTTCTATAAAAATTTTAATGACCTATTGACATTAAATTATAGATCAAGACAAAGTAAAATTTATAGAAAAAAATCACTTTTTAGTGCCTCAATTTCCCCCAAAATTTGCTTAAAGTAAATACAAATGGTATTTTCATCTGCTAAAGAAGTTTATCTTTTACTCTTAACAATAACAAAAAAACCTTGCCATAATATTTTATACATGACACTTATTTAATTAAAGGTTTTATCTAAGTTATACTGAAAGTAACTTTTTTTTTCCTTTTAATTCTGGGGACTACACCCAGCAATGCTCAGACATTATTTCTGGCTTGCATCAGGAATTACTCCTGGCAGTGCTCAGAGGACCATATGAGACACTGTGGATCAAACAGTGTCGGTCACATGCAAGGCAAGCCTCTTCCCTGCTGCACCATTTCTCTAGTCCGAACATAACTTTTTGAAAGAAAACTAACTAGTACCAGTTTTGGGGGACTCTGAAGTTAGAAAACTATATACAAATTTTCATTGGTCTTATAATTTGTTTTTAGACCTTATAGTTCCTTTTTTTATTATTATTTGCCTTTAGTTCCAGAACAATAAAATAACTAAAATAAATGAAAATCAAAAAGCAAACTCAGAGGTGGCACAAAACATTAAAAGTATTCCAGAAACTTGTAGAACAAGTTGTTGTACAGTTTCACCCCAATGGGGGGAAAATGAGCTCCTGCAAGCAAGGTCTGCACTTTATCCCTGTATCATCTGTCCAGGTCCAAACCACCATTTATATCACTCTAAAGAAATATTTTTGAAATTTCTCTTTCAGATCTGAAGAGATAATAGAGAAGTGAATGTATTTTATTAAAAAAAATTTTAAGGAATCGTGATTTGTAAAGTTATCGATAGTTGAGTTATGCATCCTATATGCTAGAACCAATTCCACCACTGCCAACCTCCAGTGTTCCCAAGTACCATCCCACCCCGCCGGCCTGCCACCCTCAACAGGCACATTTTAGAATTTTGTTGGATCTCATGTTTTCAGTGTTGTTGACTCTGTGGTTTGGTGATATGAAGGTGCTTTTCCTGCATGTGGGAGACCAAGTTCAATCCCCAGCAGTGCATATGGTCACCTGAGCACCACCGGGCATGACTCCGAGCACAGAGATAGAAGTAAGCCCTAAGCTCAAATGTATGGCCAGCCTCCATTGCCCAATAAATAATCTCCAATGATTAAATAAATAAATAAATAAATTTTTTCTTAAAAAAAAAAAAACGGTGACCATGAGCCTCTACAAGCACAGCTCGAGCATGCGGGAACAGGACTCTCCCTCCAAACTGCCGGGACTGCCCCGGCTCCCAGGTAACCTCTGATTCCGGAAGTCACGCCCACAACCCGCCTCCCAGCACCATCTTTACAGCACACAGCCACAGAGAAGAAAGGTTATGCAGGAACCAGGACTTTTACTCTAAAATTTTACTCTTATATCTCCTTATATATAAAGTGATCAATGGAAAGTAAATTATCCTATATTTCTCCCTGAAAATCAGGCTTAACTCTTTTACAAACCACAACACCCAATTAGAAAGAGAGAACAAAAGGGGATCCCTTGCCACTGAGGCAGGGTGGGATGGGGGTGGGATGGGGGGGGGTGGGAGGGTTACTGGGATCTGTGGTGGTGGGAAATGGTTACTGGTGGAGGAATGGGTATTAAAAATAAATAAATAAATTTTTAAAAATAAATTTAAAAAAACACCTATTTCTGTCTCTCTCTGTCTCACTCTGTCTCTCTCTGTTTCTATCTCTGTCTCTGTCTCTCTCCCTATATGTGTGTGTGTATGTATGTGTATATATATATATATATATATATATATATATATATATATATCACTGTCACTGTGCTCCCGTTGTTCATTGATTTGCTCAAGTGGGCCCAGTAACGTCTCCATTTTGAGACTTGTTGTAACTGTGTTTGGCATATTGAATATGTCACGGGTAGCTTGCCAGGCTTTGCCGTGCGGGCGAGATACTCTCAGTTGCTTGCCAAGCTCTTCGAGATGGGCGAAGGAATTGAACCTGGCTCGGCCAGGCTGGCTGCACACAAGGCAAACAAATGCCCTATTGCTGTGCTATCACTCCAGTCCATATATGCTTGTTTTCTTTTTAATGGTGCGCAGAGAGGTCAGAGATATAGTTCAATGACATCTAGCACATCTTGCACGTGGGATGATATGATCCTAAGAGCACTGAGCCTTCAGGAGTAGGTGCTGAATACTGCCAGACGATGCCCACCTCTACCTCATCACACTCAAAAAAGTAACCATATTTCCAGTTGGCTGGAGGCAATTAACAAATGTGACAGAGGGCAATACAGAAAAGGAAGAATCTTGACCAAATCAACAACAGCAAATTATTACCTTCTGCAGGAATTAGGGGCTTTGGGGGAGAAGAAAGGGAATTATGAGGAAAAGAAAAGGAAAATTAATAAATAGCAAATATAAGAAAACAAGAGCTATTTTGAAAGCAATTATTTCTCCTTGTAATTTTTTAAAGTGAGTTTTAAAGGGACGTGGTTTGAAAGAAAATCAGTAAACTGCATATATTTAAATGACAGTTAAATGATAGATTATGTTGACAAGGCATTCAGCTTCAATATCTCCTCCTTTGGGTGTTTCACCTCTTTCTTCAAGGAACAGGCAACTTGTTTTTCCAGGAGTGAGAGGGAAGAAGAAAGGAAGCAGGGATTAAGAGTTTTTGGTGAAAGTATGAAAAGTGAGAGGAAAAACAGCAAAACAACAGAGAAATACTAACTTTATTCCTGCAGAGAAACTCACTACTGGAAAGAAGAGGCCATCAATGTTGAAATTCTCAAACATTCCTTGAACGGGCTGTCCATTAATTCGAAATGAAATACTAGGGGCACTTAGATCTAAACAGCAGCTGATGACATCATCCGTTCTTAAAAGATGCTGGTTTGGTGAACTTACAGTACGAGCAATACAACCTATGGGGGAAACATTAAGGAAAAACATGCATTTTTAAAAACAATATATCAGAAAATCATCTTCACAATCAAAGCAAAAGATGTGAATAGATGGTGATAGATCAATGTATGATGATAATGTAAAATACAATGGGAAACATTAATAATGGTTTTTAATGTTGTTGTATTTCAGAAATTATAAATTATACATTATCTCAGAACTACTAAAAGAAAGATATGTGAAGAACATCTCCAGAGTGCAGTTGATGACTTTACCACCTACAATTTGTTTGACATCAGCAAATTACTTTCCCTCTCTCATTCTTGATTTCCTGTAAACTAAATGCCATTGCCTTGTGGAGATATGATTAAATTAATGGTTCATAAGAACAGTCACAGAGATAGCAGGTATTTCATGTCAGTCCCCTTTTCAAATAGAAAATCCCTCTTACTTAAACAATAAAAATGCATAAGAAAATAATTCCTGTTATATTTGTCAGAGGAAAAATACATGCCAATTGGTTTGCAATTGTTTTGCAGTTGATTTTAAAGATCTTGATTGGATTCTGAAATAGCATAGGATACAATTTGAGGCATAAAAATGACATTTGATAAATGTCATTTAAAAATTATTTATGCTTTGGTTTGGGGGCCACATCCAGCAGTGCTCAGGGCTTACTGCTGTTTCTGCACTCAGGGATCACTTCTTGCAAGCACAGGGGAACATATGGAGTGATGGGGGTCATACATGGGTCATCCCCATGCTACACAACTACTCTACCTCCTGTACTATCTCTCCTGCCCGATCTATTTTTCAATAAATTTTATTTCTTGCTCTGATCAACTTATAGCCTAAATATATTCTGATTGAAACAGAATTCCTTTGCCAGTTAGTCTTATAAGGACAGTGGAAGATATGAAGCTAAAGTTCTCCGAGACATTCATACTCACAAGCAAAACATCATTTTGAGCAAAGACAAAAAAATTAAACTTTAGGATACAGGCTTTGTATAATACCTTCAAAAAACATCTAGCAATTCGAGATTTTCACAAACTACTGTGAGCCTGAAATGCCAAGCTTGGAGCAGATCTACTTTGAAAAATGTGAACATTATTACCAATATCTACATATGCAAGTAATAACCTCACTACCAAGTACTTCTATATTCTCTAAATAAAAAATAAATGATATAAAGTTAATGCAATCATATAAATCATATAATGCAATCATAATAAAATAAAACTAAATCCTGTTTTTCCAAGATTAGAAGCTGATAAAATATTATTTCACTGACAGCATAATATAAATGTATTACTTGATCTGAGAATTTGCATTAATATGATTAGAGACTATGAAAGAGTCTCCGCAATAAACTGTTTTTATAAAAGCTGGAACAAACAGGTAAGATAAATAAGCTCAGTAGTGAAACAACTGAAGGTCCAGTATTCACAGCCCTCACATTGCTGAAGTCATTTAGAAACATTTCCAGGTCTTATATAAGCACTTTTTTTTTTTGGCTTTTTGGGTCACACACTCGGCAATGCAATATGCACAGAAGTTAGTCCTGGCTCTGCACTCAGAAATTACTAGTGGCAGTGCTCAGGGACCATATGGGATGCTGGGAATCAAACCAAGGTCGGCCGCATACAAGGCGAACACCCTACCTGCTGTGTGATCGCTCTATAGCCCCTATAAACACATATTAAACCCATTTGGGAGTTACATTATTGTCCTTTGCATAACCAGAAAGGAAGATGGCTCTTCATTCTGATTTACAGATTCTAAATTATAAATCTGTACCCACATCTCCTACATGGTTCATTGATATCCTTCCATACTTCTGTATTTAAATTCTTCAAAAGGGAATTCACCATATTTTTTTTCATATTTTTGGCTCTTATACACACTTTGGGTGTGGATGCTGCACAAAAGTGGAAGGCAGTTATATAAATCAATTTAAATTGAAAAATAAAAAGACATTGCTCAAAATTTTGGTGTCAAAGAACATTTCTACTGCAACACATGTAGCATTGCCACTGTATTTTTGTTTGTTTGTTTTTGCTTTTTGGGGTCACACCCAGCGATGCACAGGGATTACTCCTGGTTCATGCACTCAGGAATTACTCCTGGCCATGCTCAGGGGACCATATGGGATGCTGGGAACGGAACCCGGGTCAGGGCGCATGCGAGGCAAACGCCCTACCCACTGTGCTATCACAACTACTCTACCTCCTGTACTATCTCTCCAGCCCAATAGATACTCCAGCCCCAGCACTGCCACTGAAGCACTGCCCTCCCATTGTTCATCGATTTGCTCGAGCAGGCACGAGTAATGTCTCCACTGTGAGACTTATTGTTACTGTGTTTGGCATATCGAATATGCCATGGGTAGCTTGCCAGGCTCTGCCATGCGGGTGGGATACTCTTGATAACTTGCCAGGTTCTCTGAGAGATACAGAGGAATCAAACTCGCGTGCAAGGCAAACACCCTAACCGTTATGCTATCGCTTAAGTGGGAAAAAATGTGCTCTCACCAGATATTAGATACTTAGTCTTTTCAATTTGATTTCAACAACATAGAAAGGGAAAAGGGGCACATTTCCAAGATTATCTGAATTACTATAAATGTGACCCTGAGAAGTAAACTAGATGTCAATGTGTTTACATTTGAATTTGTTGACTGTGGATCTAAACTTAGCAAACCATTTACCAAATTCCAGTGACTTGTGAAGACATACCTTCCAATTCCATGTATACTAAAGCACATACTTTCCAGCATTAAAGCCATTTTTGTGGCTTATTTATGAATCAAAATACCACCTCTAAATATATTGTTCATAAGAAATATAGTCCTTTGGTAAGGTACTACAGTTTTAAACATTTTCTTTTTCTCCTATGAAATTTTGTTGTTTACATTTTCACTCATCAGTTTTCAATGATAAATTTCTGAATAATGAATAAATGTATTTAAAATAAGAATCGCAAGAAGACATTCAATATAAGAAGTACCAAGAACTCTCATGAGAGCAGAACATGGGTAAAAAGATTTCCTTCAAACATTTTTTGATATTCTCTTAGCAAATTATTTATAACAAGCAATATAAAATAAATTATTATGGTGCCAGGTTTAAGGAATGGTTGGAAAAATTAGAGATAATGGTGGTGGGAAGGGGCAATGGTGGTGGGATTGGTGTTGGTATACTGAATGTCTGTAACAAATCATCATGAACAACTTTGTAAACCATTATATATATGCATATATATAAATATATATGTAGTGTAAGGGAACATAAAAATTTTAAAAAGAGATTTCTTCAGGTATATTGTTAAGAAAATTCATAGCTCTTACCTGACCAAAGATGAAGACCATCAAATCCGTATGAAAAAAGATCATCTCCAACACCATTTCCACCCCATTCTTCACCGCCGCCAGGGTACGGAGAATAACCTTCAGTGGAAGCCCAGCCCACTCGCAGATGAGTTGCTTCTGCTGTCACAAATGGCTGTGTATGGTCCACCATCAACTCATAGTACCATTTCTTATACTGAGCAGAACCTTCACTGACGCCCAGAAAAATATTGGGTCTCATGCTTTAAAGAGATAAAGATATGACATGAGAACATCCAGAAAAACCTCTAAGAGTTTTATTTGCATCTCACTACTTTAAATATGAGTCCTTCCCTCATATGTGGCAAACTGAAGATAAGTTTCCTCATATACCAAAAATTATTAAAAAGAATCAAAGATAACATGTAATGATAGTGAGTCTCACTCTTATCATTCATTGAATGGTGTTTGCTTCTTTTATTACTTGTATCACTAGATACAAGTATCACTAGAGTATCAGTATCAGTAGTCTAATACTATTTTTTCTGCTTATCTACAGCATGGCAAGCTCCCCGTGATGTATTCGATATGCCAAACACAGTAACAACAAAGTCTCCAATGGAGACGTTACTGGGCCCGCTCAAACAAATCGATGATCAACGGGAGGGCCTTTACTTTACTTTTTATCTACAGCATATTTTATACCATTTATCATATTGAGGATGAAACAGTATAAAGGAATTTAAAACAAGTGGTATTATTAATCTGGGATACACAACAAGTATTTTAAACTAACCTTTGAGTCATGATGAATTAGCATTGCTGTGAACAGAATTTCCAGTTAGGCATATTTAAATACACTATATAGGAGAGAGTTATGCTCTATATTAAATTATAGTCATAGTTATAGTCCCATTCTATATTAAATTAAAGGTTTCAAGAATTTCCACTCATTGATATGTCCCGGGTTCCAGCTGGGTCAGCTGTTGCATGGCCAGCGCCCTCCTCTTTACTATGACTCCAGCTCTGAAGTCCTATTTTATTTTAGCTGCCATGTGATTTCCATAACTGTTTCAGCTAGGGTTTAAAAGCATTAAGTATTTCTGAGATTTTCTTTCTTTTTTTGTTTTATTGATGGACACAGTTTGGTCCTCAGGGCTTCCTCCTGGTCCTGCAGTCAGGGATCACTCCAGTGGTGCTTGGGGACCCTTCAGGGAGCTGCATATCAAACCCGACTTGGCTGCATGCAAGCTGGGGTCTCTACCCACTGTCTTATTGCTCTGGCAACACTGATGGAGGCAAAGCCGGCACTGACCACAGTGAAGATTCCCAAGCTACAGCCAACCGAAAAGCAGCCGTGAGAGGCCAGGATGATGTTCTGCCTCGGGACCCGGACAAGGAGAAACGGGTCTGTCTGCAGTGGAGGCAGACACGCAGGTGGTGGGGATGGGTGTTGATTCATCACCCCGAGTGTGATCTCTTCATATATCTGGGCTTCGAAGAAGCTCATTTTTCCTCTGTCACAATCTTGGTTAAGTGAGAGTGTTACATTAGGATTGGTCACTACGGTAAACATTGGTGGCTGGTCATTTGGACAATAATCCTCTTAGCTGCATAGACCTGTGCACCTGCTTACCTTACCTTGTTAATGTTTAGAGACCTTAGTGACTCTACAATAAATGTTCGTTCATTAAAAAAATAAAAAAAGAATTTCCACTCATTGATTGTAACTGAAGGGAGTTTCCCAAGCAATCTCGTTTTAAAACAATGCATAAATATACAGAAAATCCTTACATTTTTGTTAAACAGATTCAAGTATTGAGTGTTTCCTAGATAACTGGTACATACAGTGCATAAAGGTCATTACATTTATGCTTAACAATGTCTTAATTATAGGTTGTATTTATTACTATCAACATTGTTTTTTGTTTAAAGAAAGATAGCATGACATAAATTAAGTTACATTTATGTACATTTAAGGTCCTAATACTTTAATTTAATTAATGTGAATAATTGTAGTAGCTGGTAAAAAAATGTATATAAGATGTGAAAAGCATTTAGTAGAGCAGTTAGGACACAACACTCAGTGAATATCTGATCTCTTAGAAGACAAAGCTAATTGAAAATATTTTATAAATTTTTATGAATCTATAAGTAATGTCCTTTAATATCAGATTTGAATGTTTTGATCCTAACTCATTTTTTATTATGAAGTGTGGGCATTTCAAAGATGATACTAAAGAATTTAGTGCTTTTATGTTTTTAAGAAGGCATAACATATAATTATAACAACTATATAACTGTATAAATGTCACTTGCTCCTAAAAATGTCAAAGATAATCTAAATATGAATGTGGACAAAATTTCGAACATAATTATTTGTTATAAATCTACATTTTGCTCAATTCATCTATTGTTACTATGTCAACTTTCAGTAGAAAAATCCTTACACTACCAATAGGAAAATAAATAAAGGATATTTAAAGAATTATTTAATAATGTAAAAATGCTTTTTAGTTTATGATATTATGCAAAATATATGATCATAATTATATATTAGTACCAGCAAAATTGTGACTCTAGATGTTCTTATCAACTGTTATTTCACCTCTGCTATTGGGATTCACAATCTATGAAGTTATGAGTTTTATTTGGGTGTTTAAACTATGTAACTCTGGAATTGTTGACATTGGGTTAATTTTTTTCTGGTTGTGAATTTTTTTCTGTTTTATGAAGCAAAACCATCTTATATGTCAGTACAGAAATAAAATAACAAAAAGGGGCTATTATCAAATAATTTCTAAAATGCAATGTTTTCCCTAAACTACATTAAAGAATAGAACCTCCCATATATCTATCAGCTCAAGCATTTGGGGAATGAAGAGAGTGATGACAGAACAGACATAAAACACGGTAACAAAATAGTCCATTAAATGTCTTAGCTGGAGATTTTAAATCAAGTTCCTTTGTTATCAGCTCTGTGACTTAGTCAATATGAATCTACCTGCTGACGTGATTCACAAGGCGAGTCTGCAATAACAGGTCTCTTCCTGGCAGGAGATTGTCACAGATGAGATGCTGGTTAGAACGAACTGCTACTCCATGGCAAACGCAGAGAGAGCACAACACATCTAGAACCTGGGAAGGGAAACTTTGTGTCAAATTTTCAAGTACATTGAGTAAGGTACACAAAGACAAAAATGGATCCTCCTTTCACCTCTGACTGAGTCATTTCAACATAAAAGCAGAATGTTCACTTATTTCACCACTTTCCTTCCCGCACAAATAGAAAAATGCCTATTCTCTCATTGACATTATCAATATACACTGAATAATATTGCCTGAGCATAACTTAATGAGGAAAATTTTAGTAAAAAAATAAAATTGAGACCCCCTTTTTCTGATTATTATCAACGGATATTTAAATATTTTCTAATCTGATTTTAAAATATTTTAAAGACTCCCGAATTTATTCAGGGTAACAAAATGGCTGGCTTACCTTATGATTTCTTCCATGCTTGTCTAAAAGTGAAATAATGGATTTAATATGTCCTTCTTTAATAATATTTAGAGCTTCTGGGCTTTCTACTAATACACAGTGTAAAACTTCAAGAATACCTAAAGATGAAAAAGAAAGGGGGTAAAATGAAAATCAATCTACAATAACCAGTGTCTTCCCTTCTTCTCAATATGTCCAGCACAAAAGTATGGCCCTTCTTTATTACAGGGCGCTGTAAAAGAGAACAGGCAGGGCTATGAGGAAGGGAAAGAACCCATCTTTGGGCTCATCAACCGAAGATTATGAACTAGGTGAGGAAAAGGCAAAATGATACAGTGACCCACCGTGGAAGGTATGAAAGAAGGTAAAAGACATTCCAGATCATGTTTCTGGTCATTTTACAGACAGGAAAGTAAAGACTTAAGAGAAGTCTTCCCTGAAGTGCACACATCCCATTACTAAGTACAGATGAGTGGGGAGAGGAGCAGGGAAGGTAGGATTGCAACAATTTAGGATGCTTCCTCATGTAAAAATCTAAACCTACATGAATGCATCCTGTACCATGAAGATTGTTACATTCTATTTGAGACTTACAGTAGAAAAGGTTTCTTATTTTGAAAAATATAAGACATCAAAAATTATTATAAAATATTTTTGGGGATGGAGCGATAGCACAGCGGGTAGGGCGTTTGCCTTGCACACAGCGGACCCGGGTTCAATTCCCAGCATCCCATATGGTCCCCTGAGCACCGCCAGGAGCAATTCCTGAGTGCATGAGCCAGGCGTAACCCCTGTGCATCGCTGGGTGTGACCCCAAAAACAAAAAATATATGTTATAAATATACAATTACCAAAAAGGATTTTAAGAAGCCTAATTTAAAATATTGAATTGTGAGGTATTAATCATAAGAGACGCAAGAATTTAGTCGATCCGTGAACCATGTGAGGATTATGGGCTACAAACCCCTTTACAGTCTAAGATTTACCTATAATTCCCCTTTGCCCCTAATTTTTTTATTCAAGTAACATTGGCTTAGCATCTTATGTTTTGTAGGTACTTTCTTTACACTACTTCAAAGGAAAGTTATCACATCACACCCACCACTGAAAAACAGATATCCCTACACTACTATCATGCTTTACCTCCACTCTACTCTTTCTACCTCTTCCATCATGTCAATCTTGGTTCTGAGGTCCAGATACAATAATTTCTTTGGCTGTCATCCCATAAATTTGTTTCCTTAAAACCCACACAAGAGTGCTATCATTTAGGATTTATTGTTCTTCTTCTGACTTAATTCACTTAACATAAAACTCTCCTCTCCAATCTTATTGTTGCAAATGAAAAGCATTCATGTTTCATTATAACTAGTAATAGTACATTGTGCACAAACATCACATCTTTATCTACTCATCCATCACTGGGCAGGTGGATACTCTGAAAATATATTTTGTCTATAAAATATATCTTGTCTATAAGGTACATATAAATTCATGTGTACCTTTGAATGGGTACTTCTACATTTATTTGAATAGATACACAGGTATAGAACTGCTGGATAGTGTGATGTCTTTATTAAGCATCTTGAAATTTTTCCATAATGATTTCCAAAGTGAGGGATCAGTTTATACTCTGACCTACAGAGTAGAAGGGTTAACATTTTATCCACTACATCACTGACACTTGTTTCAGTCTTTGTGATACAGATTAGTCCCAGAGACTGAGATGATAATTTAAGAAGCTTTATGATGCATTACCTTTAAAATAAGAAATAAGAAGGAATTTTTATATGTGTGTAAAACATTTGTTTGTCTTCTTCAGAGAACTGTCTGTATATCTCATTTTCCCAATTCTGATGAGATTATTTTTGTTGTTGAGTTGAATAATTTCTTTATATACCTTGATTATTAGTCTCTTTTTAATTACATAAATGTAAATATATTTTCTTCCATTCAATACAAAGTCTTTTCATTTTACTGACAATACTTTCTTGTGCAAAAACAGCTCATTTGATGTAGTTCTAGTTTTTCTTGTTGTTTCCCTTGATGGACTTGAGTCTCTAAGATATCACTGAAATCAAGTCTGTTTCAGAGTCTTATCTATGTTTTCCAGAATGCATTTGTGTTTTCAGGTCTTATATTCAATTATTTCAATTAATTTTTGTCATTTTTTAAAATTGTTGGTGTGAGAGCATGATCTAATCACAATCTTTTGCTATTCTACCTCTAATTCTAATCCCCCCACCATCTCCCATCAGGTTTTATTGAGGGATCCTGCTTCACAAAAGTTTTAGTGATAGAGACTTTATGCATAAAATGTTGAATGCCACAACCCCCATTAGAGCGTAAGCTTCCCTCCACCAATGTCCTAATCACCCGTCTCATCCACCCTGACTCCCCCTTTGGTAAAGTCACTTCTGTAGTCCTACTCTCAGATTCTGTTATGTTTAGATATTTAGATAACCCTCTAGTTCCATCTGTGTGACAGCAAATCACAAGATTTCATCTTTATAGAGAGCTGAGAAGTATCCCACTGTTATTATATACTACAGTATTTTTATCCATTCATCTGTTCTTGGACACTTAGGGGATTTCCAGATCTCAGCTACTGTGACCAAGGATGCAAACAACTTTCAAAAAAGCCAGGGTTGCCATACTAGTGATATAGATTTTAGGCTGAAAAAGGTTACAAGACAGTGAAGGTCATTTCTTAATAATCAAAGGAATATCAAGGAGAAATTAAACTCCTAAATGTATAGGAATCCAATGAGGGACAAGCAAAATACTTAAAACAATGACTAAGAGATTTCAAAGTGACATTGGTAGAAACATAGTAATAGTGGGAGATTTCAACACTGCCTTGTCACCTCCTGATAGATTGATGAGACTAAGACTCTGCAAGAAAACACTGGGTTTAAAAGATGAAAGAGAGGGAGCGAGTAGAGACATGCAGTGTTTTTCATCCCTCCAAAATATACATTTTTCTCCAGTGCACATGGGATATTCTCCCGGATAGACCACATTCTAGGCCACAAAACATACCTCCATAAAATTAAGAGGAGAGACGATGTATCAGCTATTTTTTTTTTCAGACCAGGAGGCACTGAAAATAGAATTTAATCACACACAGAGTGAAGAATCAAATTAAACACCTAGAAATTAAACAGCTCACTACTGTACAACCAGTGGGTTATAAAGAAAATCAAAGAGAAATCAAAAGATTGCAGACAACTAATGATTGTGAGAACTCTTGAACTAATGAAGTGCCACCAGAACTTGTGACACACAGCAAAAGCAGTGTTAAAAGGAAAGTTTATACCTGCGCAAGCATATCAGAAAGGAAGAAGGGACCCATATAAATAACTAACTTCACAGCTGAAGATTTTAGAAATTAACAAAACAAAAGGAAGCCAAACCAGGCAGGAGGAAGGAAATAATAAAATTTAGAGAAGAAATTAATTAGCTAGAATCCCAAAAAACGATCCAAATGATCAATGAAACCAAGAGCTAGTTCTTTGTAAAAATGAACAAGATTGATCAACCACTAGCAAGACTCACAAAAAGAGAGAGAGAGAGTCCTAATAAACCAAATCAGAAATAAAAGAGGAGATATCAGAAAAAAATTCAAAGGATCATCAGAGATAACTTTGAGAATCGTAATGCCATGAGACAGTTGAACCTGGATTCACATAACTTCCCAAGGCTGTACCCAGAAGATCCGTAATACCTAAACAGACCTATCACGATTGAGGAAGTTGAAGTGGTAATCAAAGGTCTTCCCCAAAACAAAAGTCCAGGCCCAGATGGATTACCTAGTAAATTTTTTAAAACTCTTAAAGAGGGCTTACTAGCAATCCTTTTCAAGCTTTTCCAGGATATTAGAGAAATAGAACCACTCTCCAAAAGTCCTGATACCAAGAGCAGAGGCACCACAAAAAAAAAAAGATAATTACAGGCTGATATCCCTGATGAACACAGATGCAAAGATTCTCAACAAAATTCTAGTAAATAGAAACCAACAACTCATCAAAAAGATCATATACCATGACCAAGTAAGATTCATCTTGTGGATGCAAGAATAGTTCAACATTCTCAAGTCAATTAACTTAATACATCATATCAATAAATGAAAAATTAAAGCCACATGATCATATCAATAGATTCAGAGAAAGCATTTTATAAAGATCCAGCATCCATTCATTATAAAAAAAAAACTCAACAAAATGGGAGTCGAAGGAACATTCCTCAATGTAGTCAAAGTCATCTACCACAAACCCATATCAAGCATTTATTATCAATGAAAAAAAAACTAAAACCTTGCCCTCTAAAATCAGGCAGAAAGGAAGGTTCCCCTCTCTCATCACTCTTATTCAAAATAGTACTGGAAGTACTTGCCATAGGAAATAGGCAAGACAAAGATATCAAGGGCATCTAAATAGGAAAGGAAGAAGTCAAGCTTTCACTATTTGCAGGTGACATGATACTAAGAATATACTAAAGACTCTATGAAACAGCTCCTAGAAACAATAGATTTGTAAAGAGGTAGTTTACAAAATCAATTCCCAAAAGTCCATGGCTTTTCTCTATAAATAATGAAAGAGAAGAAAGACATTAAAAAGACAATCCCATTCACAACTGTGCCTCAGAAAATCAAGTACCTAACATTAGCTAAACTAAAGAGGTCAAGAACCTATACAAAAAAAAAAAAGAACTACAAAACACTACATTAACAATTAAAGAGGACAGGAGGAAATGGATCCTGCTCATGGATTTGGAGGATTAAGATTGCCAAAATGGCAATACTCCTCAAAGCTTTATACAGATTCAAGGCAGTCGCTATAAATATACACATGACATTTAAAAAAATAGATAAAACACCCCTGAAACTCATATGAAACAATAAATCCCCATGAAACACTAAAGCAATCCTTGGGAAAAAGAAGATGGGTGGCATCACCTTCCCCAACTTCAAACTGTACTACAAAGAAGTAGTAATCAAAACAGCATGGTATTGAAATAAAGACAGACCCACATATCAATGGAATAGAGTTAAATATACTGACACAGATACACAAAATATGATCATTTCATCTTTAGTAAACAAGACATAATTATGAAG